GCGGCGAGCTCGAGCGCGCGCAGGTCGCGGCGCGCCAGGCGCTCGGGGCTGGCGCACAGCACCTCGCCCACCACGCTCACGGAGCTGAGCGCCTCCAGCCACTGCTTGAGCGGCACCAGCTCGCACGTGCAGTCCCAGGGGTTGAGCTTGAGGTCGATCTGCACGATGGCRTGCAGGTGCTCGAGCACGCCGGCCACCGGCAGCGCCAGGAAGTGGTTGTTGCGCAGGTTGAGGCGYGCCAGCGAGGTGCCCGCGAAGGCGTCCGTGGGCAAGGTGCGCAGCAGGTTGTCGTTGAGGAAGAGCAGCTTCAGGTTGGGCATGAGGCTGAAGGCCGCCGGCTGGATTTCCCTGATGAGGTTGTACTCGAAGTACAGGTAATGCAAGCTCTGCAAGCCCCGGAACATGCCCGGCGTGAGCCGCTCGATGTCGTTGCCGTTCAGGTAGAGGCTCTTGAGATTGGGCAGGTTAATAAAAGCCCCGTCCTGCACGTAGGAGATCCGGTTGTTCCCCAGGTGTAAGAGATCCAAAGAGGAAAAATTCCAGAAATCGGAGCGGTAGATTTTCTGTATCAAATTCCCGCTCAGGTACAACTTCTTGGCGTTGAGGGGCCTGGGCAGGAGCTCGGAGATGTTGTGAAACCCTCGCTCCTTGCAGTTGACCGTGAGGCCCAGGTCGTTGATGTGCAAGCTGCAAGAGCAGCCGGTGGGGCAGATGATGGGGATGGGGGGCCTGGTCTGGTAGGCGGCGATGGGCGGTTGGTTCGGCCCGGGGTAGAGCCCGCGGGACGTGGGGGGAGGCCTGGGCGCCCTGGGCTGCTTGGTGGGCTTGGGCTGCTTGTTGGCGGTTTTGTACTCAACCGAGGAGGCGGTGAAGTGGAAGGAGGACAGCATGGAGGACGGCTTGGTGGGCCACGCGTTCTCCTTGCTGGACGGCAGCTGCGGGATCCCGAGGCTGGCTTCCACCTCGGAGTCGGACAGCATGGGGCAGAGCTTACTCCTCTTGATCTCCCGCAGGTCCTTGCCGTGGAAGTGGAAGGGGGTCTCGCAGGTGATGTCCCCCACCAGGGCCGTGTAGGGGATGCGCTCCAGCCAGCTCTTCAGCTGCACGATCTCGCAGGTGCAGTTCCAAGGGTTCTCCTCCAGCTGGATCTCCATGAGGCTCCGGCCAATATGGTCCAACATCCCACGGTAGGGAAGGATTTTTAACCTGTTCCCGCGCAAGTCCAAATGGGTTAAGGACACAGATTTAAATAGGTTGGTGGGAAGCATGGGGATGAGATTGTCATTCAGGATAAGGACCCTCAATTTGCTGAGGTTTCGAAACGCCCCACTTTCAATCCGTTTAATGACATTGTAATCTGCCTGCAGATATTCCAGACTTTCCAAACCCAGGAAAGTGTCGTTCCTGAAAATGTCCAATTTGTTTTCGTGCAAATACAACCGCTTCAGAGCTCGGAGCCCATTAAAAGCCCCGCTCTGGATGTCCTGCAGTGCGTTGTTCCCAAGGTTAATAGACACAGCATTGTTCAAGTGAAGAAAACTGTTGGTGTACAATTTCCTCATGGAGTTCCTCTGCAGGTAAAGTTTAAAAGGTCTCGACCAYGACTCTGTTATCTGACTAATATTTATAAATCCCTTGTTGTCGCAATGTATATGGAAAAGGCTCTCCTTCACCTCACAGTAACATGGATCAAAGCAGGGCTCATCGAGTTCCTCCGAGTCCTCTATCAAGGGAATTGGTGTAGTCCATGCTAGAGCAATTGTGCTTAGAAGAATTATCCACAACATCCTTCCTTTGTGGAGAGTCTCTGCCGTGGAAGGTTTCATCGTTTGGTGATGTTTACAAAACTGCAACGGAGGAGGGGAAGGAAAAAAAAAAATACACGCAGATTTTCAGTAATTCGCTCACGCCCCGCTCTTCGTAACAAGCCCCTACCTGCTCGACACTTGTGTCGGGCTCCCGGAAAGTTCAGCATTTGTTGGCTAGACGCTCAAAACAAACTCTAGGGGTGTCTGCTATGCAAGCCAGGCCCTGGTGCCTACTTCAGACATGTTAAAAGGTCTCGKCACGCGATACCAGCCTCCCTTCCCCCTTGGCCCCCGGCTTGGTAAATGCCATCTCGGAGGCAGGCTGCACATGCACATCACACATCGGGGGGAACACGCAGGCTGGACGTGTTGCGTCCTCGCATGTTCTCCGCCACGAGACCAGGGCTGAGGACGGCACATATTTCATTCTCAATTTCATTGGCAATTTTAGCTTTACAGCCATCATAACCCGCACTGACTACTGGGGGGAATGTCAGCGAGGAGGTTTCTCYGGTGCCGCACCACATCGTCCATATACATGCAAACTCCCGAAGTTGCTGAATTTCAGCCGCCGAATCCCTCTCCCTCCCACCTCCATAGATCCCCACGGAAGTTCAAAGGAATGTGCAAGGTAGCTGATGTCCCTGGCAAGACGTTTCCTTATAGAAACCATGTCATTAAAAGAGTGAACGGTTATCAAGCCTCATTGAAAAGAAAATCTCCCCCTTTCAAACACAGCGATGAATTAATGCAACTGGTATATTATCAGATAAAYACATACCACATATTAGTCATTTTAGCTGATTAAAGCATTTAGAGATGATTAATCTTTCTAAAGCACATGCCCATGCGATCAGCAGATCTAAAGGGAAGTGACAGCTAAAGAGGCACCCAGGATTGAAATGCTCAGCCTGGCTTGGATTATGGTGTTCTGCACCCCCAGGACCAAGCAGGAGACCCGGTTAAAAAGCTGAAAGTGGAAGAAAAATACCTTGGCACTTACCAGCTGATAAATTATCTATCCTACTAAACCGATTTCCGAATGAAGACACCATTCTTCTCCAATCAGATGAAAAAATAATATTGTACTAATGAGATGCAGCTCCTTCAACATATGGTTTCCCCCTTCCTTTCGCCAGATATTTTACATGTACGGACATCGGGAAATGCTAAGGGTGGTGGTGATAATAACGATGGTGGTGCAGCCTTCCTCGGATCACCGAAATGCCCATTAAAATTATTCGGAGCGATCATCGCTCTTAGTGCGAATCTCGCAGTGGAAAAGGACGTTTTTGCCTTCTTCGTGCAAGAACTAGAAAAATTTCCTCCCCCTCCTCCAGAAACTTAAGCAGAAAGATGCATTTAGGGGGAAAAAAAAATGAGGGAAACGGAAAGAAATCCTTAGCATCAACTTGCAAATGAAACCCTCCCCTGTGGGAAAAGAGGAGATGGATGAAAGCATGAAAAGAGAAATACCCTCTGCAATTAAAACCAGGGTCTGATTGGGAAGAAGGGAGAGAGATGAGAGCTATATTGCAGCATCAGTCTCTCTGTCTCCTTTGCAAAATATTAGCCACTTAAGTTCTTTCTCCTCCGCAAGGGCTGTAATAAAAAATAAAAATAAATAAATAAATAAATGAGGATTATTATATCTTCTTTTTGGAAGAAGGGGTGTCTTTGACCCTAGCCGGAAACAAAAGGATCCAGAGAGCTGGTACTTACCGGTTTGCAGGAGAGATTTTAGCACATCGTTACCCAAGGAAAAAAAAAAA